CATGTTACCTTTACCGGTAATTGTTATGATAGATGCCATAATGTTTGATGCACAGGAAAAATGATCATGTGACATAAGCTGTCACAGCATCAAACTTTGACATAAGTCATGACAAGTAATGGAAATGTGACACTGTTATATCACTGAACTGAATCTGTCATGACAGCGAATGAAAAATTCCATGGAATAAGGATTGTATAAAACCAAGACATTAGTATGAACCCATACAGTGTAGATCATTATGTTGTAATTCTTTCTAGTGCTGAAAGTTCTACTTGTTTTCCAGGTAATCTGAAGAAATTTGCTCCAAAGAAAATGAAATCATCTGACCGCTCGAGCAGAAACCTGCTGGACCTTCCACCACAAGCTTCTCTGGAAGAGATCAAGCAGAGGAAAGTCCTGGACCTGCGCCGATGGTACCAGTGTAGCTCTTGCCCTAATGCTCAGTTTGGGAACATAGTAACAGGACAGTCAGTCATTCTTTTTTTTTTTGCTGTTCTTTTTACATTTTTAGGTACTGCATCAGTCGCCCTCAGTATAAAACTTCATGTGGAATTTCCTCTCTTGTCTCTTGCTGGAACTTCCTGTACAGCACTTTAGGAGCTGGGAGGTATGTAACCTGCTGTTCTTTAACTTCAGAACTTTTGCTCAGTTCAACTAAGGAGACTGAACGTAAATCTCAGTGCAGTTTGTAAGTAATTGTGAAGAGATGAGTGTGTTGTTTGAGCTCTGTACGTCAGTATATTTGATGTGAAACCAGGACTATTTAAGAACTTTATTATGGGCTTCTATTTCTGGTAACCACTCGTGATTGTACAACTTAACATTGTATATTTAATTGTAAATATGTATCTAATAGATGCACATCCTTTGCAATCTACGACTTCCTAAAGTTTCTCCTTGTTTCAGGGGCTTTTTGCCCTCAGTTTACCTTGGTAAACGGGTAAAATCCAACATGTCCTTTTAATCGACTTTCTGCACAAATTACAAGTGGTAAAATGAGAATGCATAAAAAATATAATTTTGCTGTTCAGCAGCTTGTTTACACCAAACTGACTTTTAAAAAAATGCATTATGTAATTACCTCACTTCCTGGAAAAACTGTTGTCGCATATGTTTTGATTTTTCAAAAAAAAAGTTACGTTTCACATATTTCCATCTGTAAACTCCTGTATGTTGCGACTTTGGCGTCCCTGATTTTCTCCATAACCTGCTGTTAAGGATTTAATGTTTATTTCATTTTTTCATGTTTTCTTCTTCTTTTTTTACGGGACATCACGTTTTTCTGCCATATAAAGCTATTTGAGCACCTATTTAAAAAGGATGTAGCCTTTTCTCTCTCTGTAATAGCTGAAAAGTGGCATCATTCCATTAAAAACACAGGTTTCGATAAACAATTTTTCCACTAAAGTTAAACAGGAAAAAAGTTTTGTAGACATTCATAGAATATAACTGAAAATACTACAGACTATTTAGATTTCCATAGCCCTTTTAAAGCATAAAATCCTGGATAGTGTTCCTGGTCTGTTCAACAGCTTCTCCTTAACCTAAGTAACAAAAGTAATTTAAAGTAATAAAGTATTTTATTATCATGCACTACTGTGGTCTTCCATGGTCTACCAGGTTATTTGCTATTGCTAAGCTCTCCAGGACATCCCAGCTTTGACTCATGTATTCTTGCATTACGATTTCTTTTGTCCTTGTGTTGAGAAAAACAGTGACAAATCCAGACACAAATGTCACATCTAGAGACAATTGTGCACCTTCTGTTATCCCTTTTGTGCATGAACTAATGATATAGTGCTAGACATCTCACCAAGCAACAATAGACAGTTTTTTATTTATTTCCCTATTAAATGAGGGTCTCTTAGTAGGAACAGCTGTGATTCCTATATAGTTCACACAAGAAGTAAATGCCCTCAATTAAAGATATTTTGCAATGTGCTGGAATACAGGGGCAAAAAATTCTCACTGTCCAATTACTTCTGGGCTGCACTGTATCTGTGGTGTGTGGAATGATTCAGTGAATTAGTTATTTCAGGAAACTAGCCTCAGGTAAGCAGACAAAGGATATTTTTCATTTTTGTTGATTTATAGTTAGTACTTAGAAACAAATGTCACTTTCTCACAGTTCTTGTTCTTTTTATAGCCATACCGAGTATGTTCCTTTGATCTCCGAGAGCTGTCAGACGCCTGCTTCAGAAACAATAAATAGTAACTCTTTATTTATTTTTTTTTTTGTCAGCCTTCCACCCATTTCCCAAGAGGAGGCCCTGCATATTCTCGGTTTCCAGCCTCCATTTGAAGACATCAAGTTTGGACCCTTTACCGGCAATGCCACTTTGATGCGGTATGATTTGTTCTGCTTGCTCTTGGCAACTATAAGAAATCTGAAGCAGCTGAAGTCTTTTCACCAACTCTATTTTTGTTTTGGTGCAGATGGTTCAGACAGATCAATGATCACTTTCGTGTTCGAGGATGCTCGTATATTTTATACAAACCCCATGGGAAGCACAAAACAGCAGGAGAGACAGGTGAGTTAAATATTACTTAGCACAATCACATATTAGAAAATCAGTGACCAATATAAAGAACAAGCTTCAATATAAAGTTCAAGCTTCAAACCTATGGTCAAAAAGTATCTCTCCACTGAGCTGTGAATATCACCCTGGATGTTCTGGCTAGGCAGCGGTGTTGTGACAACTGTGGTTGTATGGAGCTTGTGTGTGTGTTTTTTGTTCCGCATGTCATGATTAGCATCACCAGCACCTCAAAACTATGGTGTATTCTTTTAAGATCCTTTTGTACATGAACAGAGATCACAGTCACAGTTTCATGCTGTGTAATCTTCTCAGCTAATCTGCTGACAAAGTACTGTTGACAGAGCAGCATCACTTAGCAACCAGAAAAATTACAAAAGCATACTCTGGGATCCTGTTCAATGTAGGGTCTGTATTCATTTGTTACCGGGTACTTTTTAAATTTTAATGGCAAGTTGGCCTATTACTGTGGCACATTTCATGGGGAAAATGCCTTGATTTTCCAAAGCACGTTGCACACCATATTATAATGCTCTGTTTGTTGTTCTTGCGTTTGTGTAGCCGAGGGAGCTTTGCTGAAGTTGACCCAGGGACTGAGGGATGAGTCTATGGCCTACATTTACCATTGTCAGAACCATTACTTCTGCCCTGTGGGCTTTGAGGCAACACCATTAAAAGCAGGCAAAGCTTACAGGTACAGCATAGAAGCAGTTACTTTCAACCCTTCCTTAGTTATTCAGCGTTGCAGGTTGGGTTTCTCTGAGCTAAGAAAGAGTTTGGTAAAATATTTTTTCTTATGAATTCTTCTATGACAACAGTGAAACTGTACAATTCATTAAATGATCAACTACAATGAAAATAATAATTATATACTACTTTCCACAGGGGACCACTTCCTTTGAATGAAATGGAGCACTGGATTCTTATCGGGGAACCGAGCAGAAAACACCCTGCCATCCACTGTAAAAAGTAAATTTACTGTTTTATATCCACCATTTCTAATGATTAATAGTATGAAGCAAAGGCTTTTCAGGAAATCTGAATAGTAGGTATGGGCAGATAATCAGGAAAATTTTGATACTTGTTGGCATTTGACTTTGTTTTCTGCCTCAGTAAACTTTGCCTTTGACATTTGCCCAATCTAAATATCTGGACTCTGGACCTGTGTCTCACAGACTCCCTTCGTTCTTTAATGTTCACCAAAGTCCACAACGACATTGTCACATCTGCAAAGCTGCATGGTTGCAAGTGTATTTAAAAACATGCTAATGAAAAGAAACCCTTTACCCATGGTTGATATTGACACCAAAATCTGCATTTACATTGGAAACATAGGAAAATATTCTTTGTTTGTTTGTTTTATATTTTTATGTATTATTTTTTAGAATTCTTCTTGTTTTGTCATCACATGCATTTCGCTATGAATTTTGGGTAACTCTGCAAGCAAAGCCTACAAACGTCTGCATTATCCGTCTTCCGGCCTAGATGAATGGCAGAATTAGACGGCCCTATGAACTTTCTCTGTAATGTGGTCTGCATGTCTGAAAGTCCAGCGAAGAAATGAGATTTAGATTGGGCAGGAGGTAATGTCCCTCAGAGCTTGTTACAGTGCATCCATTTTGCTTAGGTGGGCAGATATTGTGACAGACTTGAACACACAGAATCCAGAATACTTGGACATTCGTCATACAGAAAGAGGCATTCAGATTCGGAAAACCAAGAAGGTTAGTGACGTACGAATTCGACCCCAGATATTTCATGTTCAAAAAGACAAAGACTTTTTCAAAAACACTTTCTTAACAGTCTTTGACTCAGCTTAGTTGCTCATTTTGTTTTCCTTTCAGGTGGGAGGCAACCTGCACTGTCTCATGGCTTTCCAAAGGGTGAACTGGCAGAAGCTAGGACCCTGGGCGCTGAACCTGGAAAACCTGAGGCATGACGTCCACCAACAGGGGGCAGAGCAGAGGAGCCAGGCTTCAACAGGGGAGGGCTTGGAGGACAGGATGTCCAAACACTTGGGGCGCCTGGGTCGTTCCCACAGCACAGGAAACCAGAAGTCCGAGCAGGCCTGGAAACGTCTCTCCAACACTGCAGAGAACAGGCACAGAGCCTCTCCTGACAGTGACCTGGAAGAGGATGTTACTGACTGAAAATCAAGTGGCCGGTCCACCTCCTGGACATCCACTTGCGTGTTTAAGCCGCTCAAGGTTAAGTTAGTTTGGGACTGGGGAAAAAGATTGAAGTCCAAGAAATGGCCAAGCCCCATAAAATCAATGCATAGGCCTCTTCAGAAATCAGAATGGTAAAAATGGGTAGAGCAAGAAAATTGTGCAATTATCTACAAACCAAAATGTGAGGCGAGTATTTTTGTTTGTGTGCAGCATTTCACTCATTAATGTCTTTCTAATCATGTGCTTCATTGGACATTGGTGTTCATAAATATCTGGAGCACAAAATAGATAAATTTAACATTTGAGTAATTTAACATTAAGTGCATAGACTTCCAATCAATGCACAGAACATATTCATTGTGCATAAACATGAACAGTACAAGTCAGGCAGTAGAATGATACAAACAGAAATTGTTTGATCATCCTGAAAGAACTGGTGAAGAGAAAGCGTTTTCATTTTAGGTAGCTGAGACAGATTGGGTTAACTGTGAAATCAAATAGAGAAGACTTGATCTTATTGTATAAGTTTTTTGTGAAAAGATATAAAGCATGGTGGCTTTCATGTTATGTGCACTGTGATGTCCATTCTTAATTTACCACAGCAACATCTGAAGTATGTGTTATGACAAGTGTGCAGTCATCTACAATCCCATATACATGTGAAATCAGTATGAGCCGGAAGTAGTTGGTAAGTTTTCTTTATAAATAAATATTTATACGACTTCTTGTATATCAGTTGTGAGCTTTGTTCCACAATCAGTGTGATAACCTATGTGATAATCTCAATCTAAACTTGGAGTTTCTGTCTAAATTAATCGACTTCTCAACTCCATAATGTCCGCAGGACCAATACGGCAGCAGCCTCCTGTTGAGAGAGTAAAAAGCAGTGTTTGACTCAACTGTTGCAGAAAGGATGATGAGTCAGGATAATGGTCCCCCTATAATTTAATGACTAAAAATAATTTTTGACTCACCGATCCATAAAGCCCCTTGTTCTTTCCACTCAACGCTTAGCTCTGTAAATGGCACCCTTTTTTCTGTTTTCCATCTGTGAATCCATATTTGAAATATATACAAATTAGTGTAGTCTTCAAATACCTCAGCTGTGAGTCAGGGGTCTCAAACTCAAATTTCCCTGGGGGGCCACTAGCCAGGTGGTCTTCTCCAAGGGGAGCTGAAAAAAAGTGCCCCACCACTACAAATTATTATTATTATTATTATTATTATTAGTAGTAGTAGTAGTAGTAGTAGTAGTAGTAGGTTATTAATATTAGTGTTCAATACAATAAACTTAACATTTAACAATACAATTATATGGGACTCCTACTATGATGACATTGGTGTTCCTGCTGAACTGGAATGAAAATATTGCGAGTTGGCATAGCGGATAATTCCATTCACTTCTTAATTCTGACATGCTGTAAGTACCACTGCGTCATAAATGAATCTGCAAAGGCAGATTTATCTAATAATTAGTCTAAATTAGAATAATAGCTAAGTTAGTAATACCTAATCACAACCCAGCCTGCTCAGTGAGCAGTGTTCATGCTGTGTCTGGTTTTCGTTTTAATGGTTCCTCTTACACTAGTCCATTCTAGTTTTGCTTTCAACGGATGGGTAAGTAGTATCATCAGCAGACAGGTAAGTGCCTTTAATGATATAGACAATGTCCCCTTAATTGTTACCATTCCCCTCTGTTTCTGCTGTCTTAACACTACAGATTCTGCTAGTGGTGTAAGAAGTTTGATTTGCTCCAAAAATGTCATTAGTCATCAAACCCCATGTAATTAAAAAAAAAATCAAAGAAAAACGTGCACGGTCAAAACCACAATAATTTAATTTGCGTAGACCTTAAAAAGACCAGCCCCCCCCAAACACAATGTAACAAGCAGAAAATTAAACCTTGCTCTACTCAATGTAAGGTCACTAAATAACAAAACCCTGCTGATTTGAGATCTTATTAAAGAGCATAAGCTAGATTTTATGTTCGTCAGAAACATGGCTTAGTGATAATGGCACAGCAACTCTACTTGAAGCTGCTCCTGAAAACTACAGATTTATGCATACAGTAAGACAGGGCAGACGAGGAGGAGGAGTGGCCTGCATTTATAATAGTGACTTTAACTGCAAAAGTACTACTATTGGTCAATTCATGTCTTTTGAGTATGTTGCAATCAAGCTTTTTAATGATACACCTGTGTTAAGAATTTTAATATACAGACCTCCAAAGCAAAATAGTACATTTTTGTCAGAAATGGCGGAATTATTATCAGTTGCGTCCACAAACTACGATAAGATTCTTCTCTCTGGGGACTTTAACTTACATATCGATAGTCCTTCAGATAGTAATGCATTAGAATTCATTAGACTTCTAGAGACATTTCATTTGAAGCAGCATGTGGGCAGCTCTACCTACAAGCAAGGTCACATCCTGGATCTGGTCATCACTAAAGGTTTAAACACAAATGTGCCTCAAATCTCTGATGTTTTCATATCAGATCATTTCTGTATTTTCTTTCAAATCAATTTAGAAGTAAAGAAGAAAGTACCTGAAAGTTACTTTAAAAAAAATGTTACATTGACTCAGAAACAGTTGAGAAGTTTAGAACCGTTTACAATATTTCAGCGAATACAGATCTGACCTCCATCCTGTAACGATCCAGTCTCCGATCTAAGTGCTAGATTACGAGAAACCCTTGACCTTCTCGCTCCAGTAAAAAGGAAGAAAAGCTTGCGCACTCTTAAAAATCCATGGATGAATGCGGAAATGTGCCAGCTTAAGAGAAATTGTCGTAAGTGGGAGCGCTTATGGAGGAAAACTGCAGGTACATTATGATATTCTCAAAGATCAGATCTCAGTCTATAATAATGCTATGAAAATATCCAGACAGTCATATCTCTCCAGTGTGATTAACAGACACAAAGATAATACCAAAATCCTTTTTTCCACCATAGACCGACTAATTAACCCTAACTTGTCTGCTAGTGCGTCTCATGATGATTTATCTTCTAAAGTCTGTGAAGAGTTTGCAATTAATTTTCAAAATAAAATACACCTGATACGAGAGGGTGTAGCTCAGCTGACTGAAACAAGCTCCTATAATGTTCCTGATAAGTCACCTAGATCAGTGATGACATCTCTCTCTGTTATCAACTATCAGGAGCTCACAACTATTTTAAACAAACTAAGTTCATCCACATGTGATCTTGACCCTGTTCCTACTTCATTCCTAAAGATGGTTTTTGATTGTGTTCACAATGATGTTTTAACTATTGTAAATTGTTCTGTCAACAGGTGTTTTTCCAGATGCTTTTAAAACTGCTTTGGTGAACCCTTAAACCCTAAAAAAAGAGTAGCATGGATCCTTCTATATTAAATAACTTTAGACCAATTTCAAACCTACCTTTTCTAAGTAAAGTCTTAGAAAAAGTTGTTTTCAAACAACTAAATGGTATCTAATATCAAACAATTTATATGAGAAGTTTCAGTCAGGTTTTCGTTCCAACCATAGTACAGAGACAGCATTGATTCGCGTTATGAATGACCTCAGGCCCAGCGCTGATGCACAAAATTCTTCTGTTTTGGTTTTATTAGATCTTAATGCGGCCTTTGATACCGTTGACCACAAGATTTTACTCCAGCGTCTTGAATGCTGGGTTGGCCTCTCGGGCACAGTTTTACAATGGTTTAAATCATATTTAAGTAATAGGGAGTTTATGGTTTCACTTGAAAATCATTCATGAAAAAGAGTTGCCATTTCTTGTGGAGTCCCTCAAGGTTCAGTCTTAGGGCCTTTGCTTTTCTCTCTGTACATGCTACCTCTAGGTGATGTCATTAGGAAGCATAGTATAAATTTTCATAGCTATGCTGACGACACCCAGCTATACATTTCTATTCCTTCTGAAGATCAAGACTCTGTAGACAGACTAACCCGCTGTGTGTCATATTTCTCAGTGGATGTTGATGTTAATTTTCTACAATTAAATCATGAAAAAACTTAAATAAATATTGATCGTTGGTACAGAAACCCAGAGAAAAATGATTTGAGAAACTTGGTTCTTTAGCTTCATATCAAACCTGAAGTACGAAACCTGGGTGTGATGTTAGACTATCGCTAAAGTTCGGCCTTTTCTATCTCAGAGCGATGCAGAGAAACTTGTTCATGCATTTGTTATAAGCAGACTTGATTACTGTAATGCTCTTCTTTCTTCCTAAGAAAACTATACATCCCTTACAACTCATACAAAATGCAGCAGCCACACCCTAACAAAAACAAAACAGAGAGATCACATCACTCCCGTTTTGAGAGAACTGCACTGGCTGCCTGTATCATTCAGGATAGATTTTCAAGGTCTGCTACTAGTCTTTAAAGCTCAAAATAACCTAGCACCTGCTTACATCACAGAGTGTCTGTCTGTTTATGTTCCAACACATAATCTAAGATCTGCAGATAGTGGCCTTCTACAGATACCCTCTGTAAAATACAGAAAACATGGACAGGCCTCTTTCAGTCATTATGCTTCTAAACTATGGAACTCAATTCCACCTTTTATTAGACAGTCAAGCTCAGTGCTCACTTTTAAGAAGCATCTAAAAACGTATCATAATTTAATTAAAACTCTACGTCTCGTGGTATTTATCTTTTAATTTGATCTTTCATTTTCTTCTGATTCTAAATAAATACTAATGATTTCTTGTGTAATGTTTTATCACCTATCTGTAAAGCACTTTGCGCTGCCACCAGCATGAAAAGTGCTATATAAATAAATATTATTGTCATTGTTATTACTATTATTATTATTATTAAAATTGTAAATATCAGCCTAAACCCATTTTATATAGCTGATGTTAGGCAGCCAGCCACAGTGTCTGGTTGGTGAAGCAGATCTACCTGTTACATGTAAAAATTTAGCTGCAAACATGGAAAAAAAATATTTGTATGCCAGATTTAAAGATAAATTGTAAATGTGTGATAAGAAGTTCATAAGAAGCTGTAATTTGAGACCTCTGCTGTAAAGTGTGTTGTTACCTACAGAATACAATGTCTGAATTAGAAATCAAAGTCTAGACACTGATGCCTTTTAACTCACCCTGTACTGGGATCCCAGCCCTCGCCACTGTTCGGATAGACCACCCAGCTCATGCTGGCTGCCTTCTGTGACTTCGCTGATTCTAGAAGAGGTTTCACCAGAGCAGGGGGAGAGCAGTTCACCCCAACAGCAACCAGCTGTGTAGATTTACTAGCCACTTCAACAGCCTTGGAGAACTTATTCCCATCTGAAATACTCTGAGAGTCCTAAAAAGAATTGTCAATGTCTTATACAGTGATGGACAACTTTGATGCCTGGGCCCAGAACATTTAGACATGTTTCAGAAAATGTACAGCTTCTACGAAAAAGTATTTGGCTCTTTCTGATTTTGTCTATTTTCTCTATGTGTTCAAGAGTGGCTAGAACCTAATCATCCAGGAGGTCACCGAAGATTCCATGAAAACATTTAAGGAACTGTGGGTCTCTGGTGTTAGCTAAAGTCAGTGTTTGTGACTACATGGTAAGAAAGGGACTGGACAAAAAGGGGAGTTCATGGAAGAGCTGCAAGGCAGAAAACACTGCTAAGCAAAAATAATATCAAGGCTCAGATTACATTTGCCCCATTTTATCACCTAGAATTAAACAGGCTGTTTTTGTTACTGTGCTTTTAAGACTGATGAATTTAAATTTCCTTTGTTCTGGATGGCTGCCCTGTATTGTGCCTCATCCAAAAAGCAGTTTGGGCTGAAATACTCCTTATAACTTCAGTGTGAATGGGCAGGGCTGTAGCATGCAAGCTGAATAGGCAAATATATGTGAATGCATTGGTTTTCATGACATCACAAAAACACTATATTCAAAATGGGCTGTTTTTGCATCTTAGTTTCCACATAGTGATTATATAGATAGGGGAGTGAATGATAAGTTTTGTTTAGAATCTATAATAATCTATAATAGGATTATTATTATGTTTTATGTATTATTATGTAGTAATAGAGAAAATCAGAAAGGGAACAAATACATTTTTATAGCACTGTAGATAGGATTTTTTTCCCTAAAACCCTTAAATAAATCAATCTAATCTAGCTAAATTATTATCTCTAATATATGTTTATAAACATATATTAAACATATATACATTGGACAGCGACGATATATACACCATGATATTACAGATTTACAAAAAATGAACCACGGAAAATAATCTGGCTCAGTTGTAGATACCTTGCAGGAGAAGGAAAGCCAGGCTTTAGTATCAGGAAACTCCCTCAGTAGCTCCACCAAGGCCTCTGCCTCTTTTAGACTTGGTATGGTCTCCATGGCGATGAGATCAGCTCCTGCAGCCACTAAGCAACGAACCTGTGGCCGATGCCAGTCTTTCAGCTCCTGCATTAAAGGGAAGAAGCGACTTTAGTCATAGTTTGGTAGCTGCTGTAGCGTGTTGTATAGAGTGTTTGCCTCTGGTTTACCTCCACACTCATCCAGCTCTCATAGGCTCCTGTGTACTCGGAGCCATCATGCAGAAATGCTCCATAAGGACCCACAGAGCCTGCTACCAAAGGCACCTTTCTATCTGTTAAATTTTTATAAGATGAAAAATTATCAGTGAATATCATTTCCACAGTTAATGATCTCTGCCATTATTAGTACAGCATGTCTTAACTGCTTCTGTAATATTTTTATTGAGTACAATGGCCTTTTATGTCCATCATTCTGACACATACCTGCTGTTATACAGCTAGACATGAAGTCTGTTGCTGTCTCTTTAGCTATTTGCACCCCCCACATCAGCAACTGCTCAGCCTCCTCAGGTTTGAGACCCAGGTGCTTGGTGAATCCTTCAATACTAGCCTGGTATGTGGCCGTTGTAATGACATCAGATCCACACTGAAGATATCTGCAATTTCACAATTAGATAAGTTCACAGAAGCAAAAAAATATATAGGATTATAGACAGATAGAGAGAGGAGAGGGAGAGTTTGGCATTACCTGTAATGTACATCCTTAATGGCTTTTGGGTCTGTGTACAAGATTTTAGCACTCCATAAAGGGTCTCCCTGCAAAACCATGCAGATGCGTTGAAACACGACCACTTGCACGGCTGAAGCCCACTGTTTCTCAACCCTGGTACTGGAGGCCCACTGCCCTGCTCTTTTTAGTGTCTTCACTGCTCCCAACACACCTGATCCAACTAATCAGCTCATTAACAGGCTATTGCTAAGCCGAAGTGGATGTGTCAAGGCAGGGAAAGCCCTAAAATGTGCAGGAAAGTGGGCCTCCAGAACCAGTATGAAAAACAGTGCTGTAGCTTATAGGCTATGGCTTAAATACCTGCAGTTGAAATCCTCTTTCCTCCAGTTCTGTAGCTAAACCACCATCCAAAATTAACGGCTTAGATGTCATGCTGGCCGTTGCAGGGTCCATCTTTGCATTCGCAGCATTCATTTAAACGATTTTCACTTCCCTATTGCAACACATTCAACCTGTGAAGTGTAGCCTAGAGTACTGATGCAATCAGCACACACTACTGTTCAAATGATACTAGCAAACGCTGGCAAAAACCGCTGTCTCAAACACGTAATTTACCAAAGACAGTTTATTTGTCAGTTAGACTCTTCATGTCTGTGGTTAAATCTATGGTTAAAACTTTAGAAAAAAATTAATCCTTCCAGCACAAGTACAATAACAAAGTCCACGTGTCGACTCGGGTCAAAGTATTATTTCCGGGCGGGTGTCACAATTTAAAAGTTGAGCGTTCGCGGTTATTTCATTTTATTCTCGTCTAGGAGCCGTTTAGGAGTGAAGTGTTTTGCCCTGCTGGCTGAAATAAAACTATATATGGTCCGTTTTTATTAACAGGTGTTATGTGGCTTTGTTTTTGTTGCTATGGAGACGCGAGAACTCGCAGGTACGCTAGCAAGCAAGCCAAGCAGCTAAGCTACAAAGCAGCCAACGGCAATAACAAAGCGTAAAAACGGTCGTTTCAGGATTCTGGACCTGGAAAATGGTAATGTTATCTTACTGAGTCGAGATGGTGAGAGTGCTGCTAGTTAGCTGTTCGTTGTTTTCTCTTATTATTTTTAATCATCTAGGCTAAAGCTTGCTAGCTAGCCAATTCTCATTACGTTATAAACGCGCGTTTAGCTAGCTAGCTAGCTAACCTGCTAGCTCGCAAACTGTCATAGCGTTAAAAAATATGTCATATGTTTATTGTGTTTTTTTTTTTACAAACATATGGGTGCTAAAACAGTAGCTAGCTTGTATAAAGCTAGCTACACTAGCACATTAAAGACCAGCTTGGTACTAAAGTTCAGAAACCAGCTCCACACAACATATCTACTAGCTAATGTTAACGCTAACCTAGCTTAACTTAGTTATCCTGCAGGCTGACAACTACAGAACGGAAAAGCACTTTTTAAAGTCCGTTCACTTATTGTTTGCCATTTTCTTACGTTTTAAATCAATGAATGTAGCTAATGTTGCAAGGATGAAGTAGAATGTTCGTGGAAGTGACGGATACAATGACACAACTGAGTTAACTAGCCAGCTACGTTAAGCAACGTTATTAGTTAGATAGTTAGTAGGAGAGACATTATGGACAGAATTTATTTTATCTAAACAGACTGTGCTTCTGCATGACGACATAATTTGCATTGAAACCGCATGGCAAAGCCCAGCAATTCTTCATCCACAGTGAGAATATGAGACTCTGTTAGTGGTTTGCCACTAGATGTCAGACGTGCCCTTTATACGAATACTAATACTAGTTTCATCAATTTGCGATTTAACATTAACAACGAGAAGAAAACCTTACAGTATAGGACTCTCTTAAGTTTGACACATGTCCATTAGGTACGGTGATCGTTTTCTCACTCATTTGAGCGACGCCTGACTGGTTGACTAGTTTTTACACTTTTATGAATATTATCTCCTGTCCCAAATACCCATATGATTGCGAAAATCACAACCAAACAAATTGCATGGTTGTGGGGGATTTTTAAAAATGTATCCCACAAAATCACCAGGTAAAACAGTTGTACATGATTTATTAAGTCTGTGGCTGTCACTGATAATCAGGCTTTTTATTGCTGTTTAGTGGCACAAACTATCTTGTAGTCCTGTTCTTTATTTTGATATTTTCCACTTTTCACATTGTGCCTCTTAAATGAGTGTACATTGATCTGTACGCAGGCTTCATTCAAACAGCATGAAATGTTTGCTGTAATAGCACAGGACAACAGTAGGTGTCTGAGAAAGTGTTGGTTTCCAAGAACGGCTTTGAAAGGAAAGCCCACTTTGGCTCGAGAGTCGACTGAGTGTGAAAGGTAGCAGATTAGCCTAGCCATTTCCAGTTTGCTCTGGCTAGACTCAGACAAGTAGGTTAGCCAAGACTCAGTGATTTCAGTAAAATGTGTGAGAAAGAAATGTTTCATGAATGACTGTTAGTGTAGCCTTGTTGATAAAAGAAGGCAGGCAGTTACTGGTCAGTCATAGTAGATTTTAGTCAGGAAGTCCTGTTTCATCTCCTTACGTCCTCAGAGACACAGCTGTCCTTGGGTAAACCTGAACAAGGCAGGGAGTGAGGAAATGTGATCTGTCTCATGTGTGCCGTCCATCACCTCTGCCATGAGAGGAATGAGAGTCCAGAGCATCCCACTGACAGATAGGCCAAGTGCCACAGTGTGGTTCACACCAAGTTCTCAACAGCTTTGCTCATGAAAAAGAAATACATCACATTTTCAGCAAGCAGCATGGTTATGTAAACAGTAGTTCAGGGGAGTTCTTGCTAATTTATTTAATGGTAGGGTTGATGAAATGCAAGCTGAGCAGGACCTACATTTCATTGGTTTGCACAGTATGACCTAAAGTGCTTAAGTGTGTTGAGGCTCTTGCGTCACATTGGCCGTCGATGCTGCGTCTTTCTTGCGTGTTTTAGAGTCTTATTTGAAGAAAAAAAAAATCAAACTCAGGTTTTATCCATTCAGTACATGACACAAGTGGCATGGGTGTAGTTTCATAAGTTTGGAGTTTGTAATTTATTGCTTAAAAATTCTTTGAGCCACTGAGAATGTTGACTGAAATCTGTTCACTCTCTGTGTTCACTGAGCTATTCAGTGACTTCTAAAAATGCCTACTGTTCATCCAAATGTTGAATGGAGCGAGTCAATGGCATGTGTGGATACTAGCTTCTCATTAATTTTGTTTGTCCAGAATGTCTACCCTGTCTTGGAGTCAGTCCTTTGTGATAACATCTGTTAGTTAGTGGGGCTTATTTTTGGAAACATGACTGGGTATTTTGAACCCTGAGGTATAATTTTAGTGCCACCAGTCACCTATTTTTGTTTGGTCATAACCAGGCGGTTGTACACTGCTCTATTCTTCACTGGAGTTGCGATGTAATTAGACATTTCAGGATGACTGGAACCAAGACTACCTATTGGGCATATGCTTGCCTGCACTCATTTGTTCTGAGGAGGCAATTCATGCCAATACTATCTCTACCACAGCTGAGTGAGGGGTAAAAATAGCTCTCCCTGGGGGATGGGCCCCTCATACTAGATATAAACTGCTCATTTGTGTGAAAGGCTTTCTTTAGGTCAGACACAAAAAAAAGAACAGAAGAGTGCAACAGTTAATTTCATGGAGCTTTGATATAACCCATAGCGTTTTTTTCTTTTTTTTTGAATTTTCCATGAACATTGTTAGTTAACATAGTGTAGTGAATTAGGCTATTTAGTTTTATATAATTGGTAATGAGCTAGGCTAGTTAGAATACGTGGAGCCCAGCAAAGAGAGAATCTGTTTCCATACCACTAGGAACTATGAGATCTAATTGAAAGAATACATTTTTTTTTATCAAAGAGAATACCCACAATATGAAATTTAGTTGATAAAAGTGATTGAGGATATGTTCGTGTGGTATGTTAACTGATCAAGGACGGGCAGATTGCCTCATATGTTTAATTGGACTAATTATTATTTACTGAACTTAATTGCTGTTCTTCTTATTTAAAGTGTTTCACACTTGGGAGGAGTGCTCCAGCAGGAGTTACTGAAGCAAAGCACTCTCATTTGTGTGCTTTACAGCTATGATTGCATAATTATGTCAAATATTACACACCCTTTCAGTTATTAACATGGATATTGAAAGTTATTAGTTAATAAGTCATCTTGCAACAAAAATGGGAATTTCATAACTCTGTGAAGTGACCCTTGATATCCCCTGGTTAACAGTGCTCACTAAGAAGAGTTTCTCATCAGTATTCTGCTCCAGCTCTGTCTGGATCACATGCTCCTGGATATCCCACTCTCATCTTCAGTATGTGGGGCTTCTATCCAGCAGGGGGCAGACAGTGAGGTAAAGATGGCACACGCCCTCTCCTCCATGTTTCCGAGGGCACCCTCTCTGCCTGTTGTGAAGGTGAAAAAGGTCAAAGCAGGTGAAATCAAAAAGGTTATAGCAGTGCTGTTAAAGTAAGAGGTAAATTTAAACACAGAAAACTCCCAACAGCCATTTATTTTATATCAAAACCATCTTGTTGTTTCTTTTGTAATAACCATTATTTTGACCTTTTGGATTGTTCCACGTTTAGTGACCATATTGCAGCTCCTGGGGGCTGAGTGTTTGTGTGAAAGTAGCAGCAGCAGCTGTGTAACTGCTCCCTGGCTGGAGTGAGACACCCCCAGGGGAACAGAGGCTTGCACTTAGAGCAAGAAGTGGTGGGCTCCATATGTGACACAACCCAGCTGCCTGCTCGTGCTGGGGGTCAGGCCCCGAGAGCTCTGGCTGCCTGTCCCGGCTCAGGGGTCGCCATACTGACATCCCCCTGCTGGGCCCGACCAGATCAGAGAGTTCACAGTGTGTTTCTGTTGTGCTGTTCACAGGAGGAGCGCTTTGCCTTCCTGGCTGAGTGGTACGACCCCAGCGCCGCTCTCCTCCGGCGTTATCAGCTGCTATTCTACCCTAAAGATGGCTCAGTGGAAATGGTAAGCAATTAGGCTTTGTTTAGACAGACAGTCTTATCAACTTTTTTTCCCGCTCACACATGCAGTATGCGTTCAGTTTAAATATTATTATTTTTGGCACGACTTGATCAAAGCATTATCTCATCCACATTCCAGAATCTGTAATATCTGATACATGCTTGTTTTCAAAGTCTGTAACAAATAACAGCACCTTCTTGATTGTGATTTAGTTTGATGTGAAGAATCAGCGTACCTTTTTGAGGAGGACCAAATATGACGATCTCCATCCAGAGGATCTGTTTGTGGGGAATCGTGTCAACGTCTTCTCTAGACAACTCAACCTCATTGACTATGGAGACCAATATACAGCCAACAAACTTGGCAGCAAGAAAGAGAGGTAGTGACCCCAGCAAACCATAATTTGGTCAAATTATATATAAAAGCTTACGAACTTAAGTATGAAAAGTATAAAGTAAAAATTGGTACCACTTTACTGTAGGGCAGTGTTTACATGAGACCTACTTAAACAAAATAAACAAACCCAATAAATACTATGAAAAATGGCTTATTCCAGTACACATTGTCTGTCATAAAGGCTCCTTTTGTCAACTTTGGTATTTGTTTGTGATTTCAAAGTTAACAGGTCAGATTATTATTTTTTTTCTGAGATTGGTTTATGTCATGACACTGTTTTCTGGGGTGAAATGATATAACACAATTTACAACTGACTT